CCCATTGGGAATAGGAGTTTATTTTCCTTTATAGCCTGCCATCTCTATCTTGGAGTAAAACATAATAAATAAATAAATGGATAATAATATGAATAACAATTGTTGACTTATATGGAGCATATTGTAGCGACCTCTATGCACTTATGAATCAAGATATTAGATATAAAAAAGAATTTTAAGTTCTCTTTCTATCCATGAACCGCAAAACAATGTAAAAAACCTTCTTCCAAAAGAGTTTGCAAATATTACAATTCCCTAACCCATAAGGACAAAGAAAATGAAATTGTTTAGTTGTGTATGTAATACACATGTAATAGGGTATGCACCACAAACTGTATGCATAAACATTGCAACTTAAGGTAAAGCTAGTGGATAATGATGATCATCTAATTTATTATGGAGAATCATATTGACAGTGAAGTGAAAGTAATTACTATGAGTACATTCTGGACTGCCACTTATAAGTGCCCTTGGTTAAAAATTGTTATTGCTAATGTCATCTATATAGTGCTCGAAGGGCATTGTGTAATTACTGGTAATAAAATAGCTGAAGGATCATTGAGGTTAAAAATGATGATGATGATGTTGACTAAGTAATTTTCAACACATTAACCCTTATGCTATTTTTCATACTTAAGTAAAAGTAGTATTCTAATCTATCTGCATATACACATAGTCACATGAAGAGAGCGACACTGATTCAATTCTGGAAGTCTTCGTGAACTCATGTTTTATCAGCAAATTGCTTTCAAAGCAGTCTTTTAATTTTTCGAAATAAGCGCTGTAAGCTTTGATGCGGATAGTGTGCATGGGCACATCATGACTATATATGGCCATACAACAGTTTATTTTGTCAAAGGAACGTTGATAGTGTGGACAAAGATTAAGAGTGAAAAGCGAATGAGCATGTGACATGCCTAAGTATGGTCATGATGACATCATATCCCAACCATATATAGACACATCATCACTATATATGGTAATGGTGACATCACATCATGACCATATATAGGCACATCATGACTATATATGGGCATACGACAATTTTTTGTCAAATAGACATCATTGATCTGACATTCATAATTACTACTAAAATGGACTTGCCTCGTACACGCCTTTCCCGTCTCTCTACATCATCAAGTCTGTCTGAATATTCTTTTCTCTTCTGTAAAGCATATCTGAAATCAACAAGTCATTTTAGTTTGAACAACTAAAACCCAGTCCAGACTATCAAATTTTCTCATGACATAAAACTGATGTATGCCCATATATAGTCATGAGGTGCCTATATATGGTCATGATGTGATGTCATCATGGCCATATTTAGGCATGTCACATGTTTGTGTCAAATAGAATTTGATAGACTAAACAATGGTTTACAAACAGTATTGTAAAATGATGTGCAACAACTTGCTATTAATTTTAGATGTTAAATGTTCCTTTAAATGTTACTAACAGAATACAGTGCAGTACATACTGTGTTAACTGTTCCTTTAACCGTTGCTGATAATTTTCTTCAATGTTGTTAACAGCAATTTCCCGCAGTTTTAAATTCTCTTCTATTGCCAGTCGTTTGTCCTCTTCCAATTTTGCAGCTCTGCCCATGAATAAAAAAAAAAAAAATTAATAGTAGATGGTTTATCATACTGTATGGATAAACTAAAGTGCCAGTTGGACAAGGAGACTTCATTTACCTTTTATTGACCTCTGACTCTCTCCTGACCTCAGCTTCTTTTGACCTTAAAATCTGAAGTTCATCCAATAAATTTTGTCTTTGCGCATGCATCTCTTTCTGGGCAATCTAGAAAAAAATCAAATTATTATCATGAACAGAATTTTTAGATGCAAGTACTGCTCTGACAGCCATCAGCTTACGCAATTTGATAGAAAATGCAAAGACGATCTGGAGCACACAATTTTATTTAAAGTGATAATTAGCAGATGGTGCACACACAGAGCGCACACAAAGAGCAGAGATTGGTTTGTCGTACCCATCATATGACCTTGGATGCTGTATGTGGTCAGCTAAATTTTTTTTTATCAAATTCAGGTCAAATATTTTCGCAAGTAAACACAGCATTTCAAAGCAAAAAATAACATATGCTGAAACCAAATAAAGTAAAGCTTGATACAACAATAATGATACTAGGTGTGATTTTGCCCTACCTGACGTGGAAATGTACCGAATACCACCGAGCTTGTGCCTGATGGCCAGGGTTGAATTCGAGTCCAAGTAAGCAGCGGGTACTGCAGTGTTGATAGTAATTGTTATTGTCGTGGGGTATGATGTCGTGAGGTCTAGAGGTCTAGAGGTATGATGCCAGGCTAGTGATCTGGAGATCTTGGGTTCGAGTCCCACCCGAGAACAACTTGCGATTTTTTTCGCAGTTGTTTTCAAATGTACTGAGTATTAGGTACATTTCCAAGTCAGGTAGGGCAAAATTACACCTATACATGTTTCTCCTTACGCAAATCCAGTTATTGTCTATTATTCCATCACGACAATAACAATTACTAATAATGATACACTAGTACAAATTGAGAATGAAGTACCTGCTGTTGCTGCTGAAGTCTTTCTGTTGCATTTCGCTCTCGTTCCTCTAATGCCCTACACCTCATCTGATAAGTGTTTTCCAACTAATAATGATATAAAATAACAATAATATTATTATCAATATAAAAAAAAAGTCTAATGTCCGAGTGGTTAAGGCAGGGGCACTGCAACATACGGCTGTAATACTGGTGCTGGCTCAAGCGGCACTCTCAGCTATGGTTCCTAGGGCTATAACAGCAGACCCATGTGCAAAATTGGCATATGTGCACTTTAAAAAAACCAAGAACTTATTCTGGGACAATTCTTTGTTGGGCTGACAAGAGTTCCTGACACCAATTTACCGGGTAGTTTAGACAAGTACGTCATGCTTAAATACTTACATCTTTTCTTGATGATTCTAACTTTAACCTGAACTTCTCCCTTTCCTCCATTTGTAGGCTGCGATACTCACTTTCTTTAAATCTTCTTATCTGCAATGTCAGTTTATCTTTATTACATATTTGGGTTTTGTTTTGAAATAAAATGTAACAATACTATATATAAATACCATCACCAAAAGAATCGTGTACCTTTCAACATTTGTGGCAAAGACAAGCCAAACCTGTCACTCATTGCATATCCTGTTTTGGAGATAATGGCCAAAACATGCTGGAATGTCAAAATTTTGAAAATCTATTTTATTGCACTAAACTAACCTTTATATATCTATACATCATGCTATGCTGTTATTTTCCCCATTTTTAATATTAAAATAAACATTTTTTTTAAATTTAGTGATGGTTTCTGCCTAAGAAATGCCTGAAATCGTAAACTTTGAGGTCTGATTTCTCAAATATTGTTCTTTAAACAGCTGTATGTTTGAAATCCTGTAACTTCATAACATAATGTCAGATTTAAATGATTCTTTTACCATTGATTTTTGCGACGAGTGACTGATTTGTCTCGTCTCTGCCACATTTTATGGTTCACTAGCTATCACACGCCATTGAACAGTATTTTGTTGTATGCCGATAAAAAAGATTAAACAAAAGATGTTTCATATTATGTATCATTAACAAGTTTGAATTATTAACACTTATTAAGTTAATAGTGAGTTTTTGCAAGGTTATTAAAACAAAACCGAATACGGATACCTCAACATTTTTAGAAAACTCTTCCCCTACATCAGCATATCGGCCACAACATAGGCGATCCAAGCCTTTTACATAAATCAAGACTCATATTTAGCTCATACAGCACCTTGTCTAGAATGTTTTTGTCACGAATGATGATGATGATAATGACTTATTCGTATTTGTTATCATAATGTTGTAAAATCTCCCTGTTGTTAATACAATTTTAATCCAAATATAGCATGCAAACACTTTCATCCAATGAAATGTCTTAAATGCTGACCTCAAAATTAAGTTGTTCCTTTGACCTGGCCTCTACTTCTCGTTGGAATGACAGCATTTTCTCGGTGATGACATTTGAACCCTGCAGATCTTGTCCATTAGAACGGCTATTAAATGCTCTATCAACATCGTCAAGTTTATCGACTAGAAGTATACAATGTAAACAAAAACTTGAAATGTACAATTTGAAAAAGTGAGCATTTGGCTGTGAGGTATATGTTCCTGCTTCTTGTACTGCACTCCCCAGACTTGCCACAAGCCCCTTATTATTTCTTTCATTCTAGACAGTGCCACCAATGTGATGGAATACTGTAATCCGAAAAAAACAAAAAAAAATTGAGTATGGGATGCCAATTAAATTACGTATGGAGTGCACTAAGCGCAATAAAGAGTGAGGGAACCAGAATTAGAGCTTGCAACCCAGGCCACGTACACCCTAGCAGTGTCAGTTATTAGTTGGAGTCTGCTCATTCGGCTTCTCAAATTGAGAGTCAGGCAGGTGATGAAACATGATTTATTCCATGTACAGTATCTGTCACCTGTTGTAGTTAAGTCAAGTGGCTTGTGGCTGCTAAGGGTAACCCGTGTACGTAGAATGTGGACAAATAAAGAAATAAACGATGCGATTCAACTGCATATTCCAATATACAGAAATTATTAAAATAATTATGTAGTAGAAAGAAAAATCAATTATAATTATGTTTACAATACCTAATGAGGAATGTGAATAAAGGTCAGCCTGTACACCTTTGCTCTCTGACCCTCCTGAGTGACTATTGGCTATTTCACTTAACAACTGCCATAGCAACCCTGTAAGAATGAAGGTTGAAGTTAGTTTGGAAACATATTTTTTAACAAAATACTGTTTTTAGCATCTTCTCAAATAAAAGTGCAACCAAATAATAGAAAAGAAAGGAATTAAGAAGTAAAATGGGAAATCTTAATAGGACTATCACATTTACACGTCCTTTAAAAAAAACCACCATTTTCTTACCCTGGCAAAAAAAATCCCATCCTTCAACATTGTGATTAATTTTCCATTAAAGGATCACATTTTCTCCAGTCATTTAGGTGATTCCTAAGTAGTTCCCACTGTAGTTATGTCTATAATTTCTTTTAAATTTGTTTTATGTCATTATTAACTTTAATTACAGACTATGTATACCAGACAGTTTGTTAAACATCAGATGGCTGTCGGAGGTTTGAATTATTGTTTGCTAAAACATATAAACAAATATAACAACCAATTACCTTTTGCATTAAAAGATGGCAGAGAAGACGCCTGAGGAAAACAAGGCACATTATGGTTAATTTATTCAATTGTAATCTTCTTACTTAAATCATCAATTCATTCACTCATTTATCTATAAATCTAAGAATATTATGAAACATTAAGCATCATCATCATCATCATCATCATCGTGCCTCCATTCCCCCATCCCAATGGCTAACTGCAAACACCAATACATATGTATTCTGTGCAGTATTAAAAAATCAGACTCAATCATTCACAATGACAATGACAATCCACATATCAAATAAAAATAAACAGTTTCTTTAATAAAAATTATTAATAATTTAAGATTATAGAAGTATATTTTACGTACAATCTTCCGGTAAAGTTTAGAATCTGGATTTATTTTGAGAAGTTGTAGAAGGTCTCGTGTGGTAAAGAGCTGAAAAGAATGTTTTAAAAAGACATTTACTATACAAATATAATTACAAAAGGAAATAATATTTTTGTTAAAATAAACCTACTGTACATCATAAGTTTTATCATATCATAATCTTGAATTGATTTTTTAAATACTAATAATTATGTCCTTAATCTTTTTCCTAAAACTAGGCATTCCCTGGGCCCATAAGTTTTATCATATCATAATCTTGAATTGATTTTTTAAATACTAATAATTATGTCCTTAATCTTTTTCCTAAAACTAGGCATTCCCTGGGCCCAATGGTTGTCGACCAACATAATTCTATGGAGAACAAGCGCCAAGACATGCGGGCGATGAATCACGATTAATAACAATCTGTTCAGATTGCCACCAACAATGAGCAGATGGCGTCGCGTCATCTAGCGAAGTTGGATTTTTGTACGACTGTCCTAAGAAGCAGACAGTGCCCGGCTTAAGTTGCTTATTTACAGTAAGTCTTGAAAAGGCTAGCGATATACCTTATCTGATGCAACTCCACTCTCTGGCAAGAAAACAGCTAATGAATATTCATACTGACATCTCTGTAGGTGGTCAGCAACAAGACTATTTGATGCACGATGAAGCAGTGAATCTTCTTCTTCAAGCGGTACAGCTGCTTTAGGAAAATCTTGGTTGAGGGCAGTGTTCTTTAACTCAACAATTAACTTGCTTCTTAGTTGTGACTAAATATACCAAAAAATAATGATAAAAAATTATCATGTGTTGCAGAAGACAGGAAATTTATGGTTTTAAATTATGATTTATAATAATACAAATTATGATTTTTTAGGATAGATGAAAACCTAGTACAGGTAATGGTATTTTAAATACTAATTAAATGCATTATATCTCAAAATTTATATAATATATATATATTTTTAAATTACCTTCAAATTTGAAATGTAACCTTTTTCTCTAAATGACTGGTACAGCCGACTTTTGAACTCCTCTGATGACAATTCACCCTCTTCCATTATGTTGCTGTTCTTTAAATATTAAGCATATAAATAAAAGAATTATATTTTGGATCATGTTCATTATGGCCTAGGTTAAGCATAGCACTTAAATAAATATACTTTATATCTATATTGTTAAGGATTTCTTTATAGAGTTGAACTTGCCTAAGTCGAATCTAAAAAGGCATTAAATTGTCTAACTTTACAGACCATAAATTAATGGAAATACAAAAATTTGGCATGTAAAATAAGATTGACATAGAAATTATATCAGTTAACAGGGGCGGATCCAGAAATTTCCAAAAGTGGGAGCCGAAAGTTGAGCCGATCGAGACAACACTTGTCCGGGGGAATGCCCCCGTAAAAATTTTGTGTTCTAGACGCCTGAAAATAACATTTGAGGCATTCTGGGCTATCATTTTCTTTTTCTCTCTTTTTCCCTTTTCTTTTTTTTTACCTCCCAAAAGGTTAAGCAAAATCGTCTTTTGGGCAAATTTAACTGTATTTTGTTCATATTCTATCAGGGTATGTGTTTTCAATCCGGTGTAAATCGGCAAGTCCTTCCCTCCAATGGCAGTTTTCCCTAAATTGTTTTTGTTTTGTTGATTGTTTTGTTTGCTGCAATGGATGAGTGTGTTTGTGTGGTGAATTTGCTCCATTTGGAGCCTCAGGCTATAAAAAAAAAAATCAATTGCACCAACCAATAAAAAAAAAATCAATTGCACCAAGTTTGAATTAATAAAATGTAGAAGAAAATCTAGGTTAGGCCTTTAGCCTAGTAAAGGCTACCTTCTAGTAGGGTGAAATATGAAAATGAGTTCATTCTAATTGATTACTAGTGGGTGAGTAATACAAGGATAAGTCATTAACTCTCTATAGCACTAGAAATTAGGCCTAGGTAGTATATACAGTACTGTACTAGGCCTTTCTTTCTTTTCTTTTTTTTTCTCAACCAACAGTGTAAAACACCAATAATAGGTTGAAATAAAATTTTCAGTAAACAGAGCATAAATATATACAATACAAATTAAAAAAACGAGTTCATTAATAATACTTTTAAGGAATTGGATATATTTACGTTGCCATAAACAAATCAGTAAATGAAACAACGCATGCACAGTCATACTTTAATAACCTTGCATTATCGGTCACATAAATTTATCGATTCACGTTAAATGTACGTTAACGCGGAGTTTCAAACTCCAAATTAGCATCGGCCTTTTGCTGAATGCTGTACCATGAATCCACGGAGCACGAAAATCAAACCTTCAAACGTGGACGTGTTTATTATAGTCATGTTAAAATACATTAACATGACACAAAAATTTTTCTTGTAAAAACAAATGGTTTCTATTTCTACTCTATAAAAAGCTATTGAACAACACACGATCGAATCGACGGCAAATCAACGCACATGGGGAATCCCCAAATTGGGTGTATGAATTTTCGTAAACAGTTTAGACTAGCGGATAGGTACAGTATTTAAAAATTATACTTTTACCGTTCTTACTAAACATAATTAAATTTATTACAGTAGTAGCCTATGTACAGTATTTCAATTAAATAAAATAATTGAATGATTGTGATAATGAGCTACTGTAGAAGTATTCGTTTCACTTTCTCACATCATGACCACAACATCGAGCGGGGCTGTTTATTCCACGTTCTGCATCCATACTTCATAGACACATGTACAGCATGCCAATGTTGTTTTGTTAGTGATCAGACTACATGGGAAAATATGTTTGAATAAAACATTAAAAATATTTGTTTTGTCTTACCAGGGAGATGTATTTTATGTATTTTTTACATCTCCCTGATCTCACTTTTTCGTAATGATTAAATATCTTACAAAAAACACACGCATATTATTATTCGTTGTTTACTTCTAGCTTGATAGCATAGTACTTTGTAGAGTGGATCATGTGCTCTCCAAACGTGGTCTTCCTGTATGTTCTTCGTGATCGATCGGGGCTCTGCTCGTCCTGACTAAAGACTATAACGATGTTGTTTTTGTTAGTGATGACGTGGGTAAATTTGTTTGAATGAAAACATTAAGATGTTAATTAATTTGTGATGATTGACTATCGTATAACAATACAGGTAGGCCTAGAAGAATATCGTCTTGATTTTGTGGTAATTGAGTTTTAGCAAGGAAACCTCGTGTAGGCCTAGGCCTTGTATTTAGGTCAAGTGTGTTCATTCAACAAATGATTGAGTAAAATGAACATAACATTTCCAGCTCATAATATCACTTTTATTTGAAAAGTTAACACAATGATTTAATAAGTTATTTAGTGATTAAACTACATACTGTGCTGTTGTAAAAAAAAACAAAAAACAGAAAACAAAACAAAAACAAAATTATAAATTAAGTAGTGCCGTGGTGAACTTAGGGGAATCCCCGCGGCTTGGAGGCCATGCAGTGCTGAAAATGCAAGTTTATTAAAGTATGACTGCGCATGCGTTGTTTCATTTACATAAATATATCGTTTACTGATTTGTTTACGGCGACGTAAATATATCCACTTCCTAATTTTAAATTGCGAGTAATTACAGTTAAAACTACTACTGCAGTACTACTAGGCCTATAACTACTACTATAGCTAGGCTAGGCCTATAACTACTACTAGTAGTAGGCCTATAACTACTACTAGCTAGGCTAGGGAAGGGGATAGGCCTAGGCCTAGTTAGACCTACTCCTACTAGGTTAGCCTGCTGGCTGAAATTAACAAGAGAAGGGGGGGGGGTTGTTTGTAAATAAAACCTTGGCCTAAATGCTGGTATGGTAATTTTAAACCACTTTGGCCAACATAATAACATGGTAAGTAGGGCTCCAGTGTAGTCAATCGACGGGCCTCATGGCATGGCCTAGGCCCAGCTAGCTAGGCCGTCCTTATCCATGCGGCAGGCAAGACCTGTCCTGGTCGGTCTCAGTCAGGTCGTAAAGCACACACACGGATCATTATTATTTAGTACTATTATTACTGGCACTACACTAGGCCTACGAATGACTTACTTCAAACTATCTATATGAGCTAGAGAATAAATATCTATTTAAACAAGCGGATAGCAAAGCAGTCGTATTTTACATTTCCGTTACCTTCCAGATCGTAAATTTGCATTTAACAGTGGATTTTAACTAACAGTGAAACGTAAACAATCATTTGCGAAGGCCGCATTCTCCCATTCAAAAATATTTTGTTTAGATGTTTCAAGAGAGGGCGCATTATCAAGCAATCCCCAAAACACAGTGTCTCTGTCTCAGTGTCTCACCACGAAATGAAACGCATCGTTGGTGAAATCATATTGAGATACTCTCCAAAATAGATCGAAGTAATTTTTTTAAAACAAAATTTTGATTTAATTTTTTAGAATAATTTGATAAATATATTTTATGATACCATACTTTTATAATTAAAACAGTGTTCTCCATGCATATTTTGTAATTCTAATCGTATTATTTGTACAGGTTAGTTTATCTTTGGGGCTGATTTTCTCAAAACCTGGTCTCATACCTAAAGTCTAAATGCTCACATCTGGTTCTACTTATCCTAGGAAAGCCATTGAAAGACCAAATTAAAGCTTATAATGTGATCTACCCAAACACAATATAAAACCCAATTTGTTATTTTCCAACCATGACTTATTTTGTTGATTCCGAACTTTACCTTCAATGTTTATTTTAGTTTTTTCGTTAGGATTGCCGCAGCCGTTGGGCCTAGGAGAAGCATTGCAATTTTGTTAAAATGAGTTTCAAAGGCTTATTCTTTCCATCTTTGGAAAATCTTTCCCCACCCCTTGAAAATGCATCCTCTGAAAGTGCCTAAAATTCTCAAATTCTTTGCGCGCATTTCTTGTTACGGTAGGCCAATTTCCTCTATAAATTGCACATTTTAGGGAGTTTTTATCAATTCCAACGAAATTAGAATTAAAAACACAAAGATATTTTGCGCGCATTTTTTAGGGATTTTTTTAGGTTTATCCTTTTAAGTTATTTAAACACATAATAGTCTCAAGAAAGACACATTTAAGATAGATCGTTTTAACCTAAAAGAAGGGCCTCAATATGTATTGATGGTGAAAGAATATGTTTGTAATAAATAAAACCATGATGAAAATGCTTATATTTAGTTTCAAACACACTTGTGTGGCCTATATTATAAATAAGATAAGCCCTATGTCGTATTGTTTTCTATATGGGGAGTGGGGTGGGGTGGGCATGGTAAATTACTAACCAGGAAAATAAATACCAACTCTGACCCAAGACCCCTGTTACGCGCCTGGTGTTAGCGCCAATGTGTGGACAGGGGATGTGCCCCCCCCCCTCTGAATCTGGAAACCTTGTTTTTGCAAAATAAATTGATGCAATTTGCTATTATAGGCCTAATCAATGAATTCCTCATCACACCCGTCAGTGTGAAATGTGGCTCTCTTTGCAAGCACATCTAACATCTAAGGAAAGAAGAGCTTAGATTGGTACCAGATAAAATAATTTTGTTATCCACATTAATACATTATGCTAATTTTCATCTTTGTAAGCGCATAAGACCTTGCGAATTATTTCTGTGACAGTCTTTTGAAGTGTGTAAAGCTCCATTTTATCCCATACATAGTAAAAATATTGGGGGGGGGGGATGATACAATGGACCATCCCCCTTGTCAAATATTGGGGGGGGGATATATCCCCCATCCCCCGGGATCTACGCCTATGATTAGATTAGATTATGCCTATGATTAGATTAGATTAGACACACAAACACGACAGATTAAACAATATACACTGGCTTTAATTTGATCATAAATATTCTTTATTCAATCTTTAATGATGTAAACCTGGACTTTAAATGGATATGTGCTGTTTCTTATGAAAGTAGTTTAAAGTTCAAAGTTCCTGCTCATGTTACATTTGCAATGTTTAGTTTAAAATTCTAGCCACTCGCTCATGTAAACGCAGTTTGAAGGTGAAATTATAGCCCCTTCGTTACATTGATCAAACACAGGGCACACACCACATGGCACACGCATGA